GCTGCAAATTGAGTAAAAGTGTCCTGCTGCTGTGAAATAAGGAATGCTGGCAGGAATAAACTGGGCTACAGCATACAAAAAGACAGCTTCAGGTTAATGTTAGTGAAATACATACCAGTAGGTGTCCTAAGGTAAAGGACTAGACCCTGGAACCTCCTCTACTGAAGATCCTTAAGAACAGGAACAATAAAAGCTGTTGTGAGGAATATGTGTCTTATTAGCCTATGTCAGGGTTGACTGAGTAGAGATTCTCATGAGTTTTCTGCTCTTCTGCCTGTACCAAGTGGTTTCAGTAGCCTTTAGTTCTGACATGTAGCATTGGGTACAGAAAGTTAGAGGGACAGAGAAATTAAATTAAATTAAATTAGTCCCTGCTTTTATAAACCAAGAAGCTCAAAGATAATTACACTGAAAATGCAAATAAAGGATCTGCTCCAGACAGTGAGAAAACTCCCTCTGACTTGTACTGCCCTAGGATCAAAACCAAAATGAAGAGCCTGAACTATTTTTCTTGAGAATTGTTAATATGTGTGTTGAATAAAATTACAAAGGAAATAAACTTGTCTGTAAAAGTCTTCATCCAGCACTATTTAGGGTACTGTTGTCTGAGTTTTAGTTTACTCATCTAGATGTATCCATTGTCTTTTGCCGTTAAAATATGACTCTGTCATCAGCTTACCAGACTTGTTGAAGAGGATAGTTTTGTCAAAAAAAATTTTAGTTCTGCTGTGGTTCATTTCTTTTTCCCATTGACCTATTGTATTGTGTCATATAATCAATCTGGTGTCTTGTGCATGAAGAATTTGGTTTGTTTAATAACAGTATATGTTTTTTATTTTATATTTTTGCTGATGCAAGATCTAGGAAATTACTGGCCAAACACTGTATGTTCTGCAGTTAAATATTTCAAGTTAAATAACAGTTCTAATAGCTGATATTCAGTGGCAGCCTTATTCATCTAGCTGCTGACATGAGTCATTTCAGGATGGTGTGTGCAACAGCAGAATTCTCATGTAATTACTCTGACAAATAGATGTCTTGCAAATAACTATGGAGCAGTTAAAACTTCAACCCTGTGCTCACAGCTGAATAACTGAATATGTACTTAGCCTATGTGATTCTCAGCTGGTTGTGGCTCCAGGCTGAAAATACTCTGCTGAACGTGTGCACGTTTGAGTCTGGTGAACTACAGCAATTGTGGAACTGGTAAGAATTTTCACATCAAACCTTACTCAGTTAAGTGCTCTGTTAGAAGTCTAAAACTTAGCCAGAAATGACATCTAAATGAGGGGCAAAACACAGGCTACTCCATGACTCCAAGGACAGATAAAGGCTCCTCTCTGCCTATCTGCCAGAAGACACGTGCTAAGGAATCAGTGGTCTAATATCTGCCTGTCTGAGCAGCAGCTGCCTGCATTGCTGGCTATTAGAACACTTTTAAAGTACTCTGTTAGAATGCAAATAAACTCTAGAAAATGGCAGGAACTCAGACTGGCAAATGACAGACTCCTCTGATAGCCTGGCAGGTGGCTAGAAGTGGCTTTAAGCACCTTCACCAAAGAAAAAAGGCTCAATTTTAATTAATACTGGCAGTCACCTTATTTTGGAGTTATTAGATTAGACAGTTATCAGATCAGATAGTTGTTAGTTCATGTTACTCATGCAAACATCCCTTCTATGTTTTGGGAATAAAGTCACAACTGTCATCTTTGACACCAAGGCAGGCATTTCTAACAGAGAAATGGACAAACCCAAGAGTTGCAATAAAGCCAAAGCAGTGTCTTTGCCACCAAAATAAAAATCTCAACAGAATTTTTCTGGTCTATGTGACAGAAAACTTTGGAAGTCAGACAAGATTTTTTCTTCTGACACTGATAAACAGAGTGTATACAGTGCCAAATAACTAGATAATCAGGATATTCACTGGAAAAAGAAATATCTAGCCCCGAATTCGAGTCAAACGCCAAATTTGCTGCTACTTGTAGCTTCATTTCATGAACATTCTAGAAAGACCTGTCTCCTTTTTGTTGCAGACCAAGAATATTTTTGAAATCTCAGAAAATTCTGTAAAATGAGATTATTGTTCTCCATTAAGGTATCACAGCAATCATTACTTAAATATTTTTAGCTGCCTAACAAAGACTTGCTTAGAACTGATTCCAAGTGATGACATGCTAATGAAAAGCTTTGTGTACAGCAGTCATTATTTGAGCTCTGAGGTTCCCTTCCCTCCTCCATCAGCAGTTTCTGATAGATTTCACTGATTCTTGGACCTCAGCAAACTTTCAGGAACACAAGTGAAGTTTTGGAACATATGCTAGTTAAAAAAATACGAATCCCCCAAAACTTTAATTCTTAGCAGGACAACTTACCTTGCTAATTTCTGAGATCTTTTTATTTGAGAGCTGCATCAAAATGGAGAGTAATCTCTTGAGAGAGTCAGTGTGGTTTCCATTTGATATTATCCCATGACTTGAGAAAATTGATTTTCTTTCATTTTATAAAATGGATCAAGGGAAGCAATGTGTGAAAATTCACAAAGAAGTCACAGACACAGTGGCTATAATGAAATGTCTTACCACCTACTCTGGAGACATGGGGAATATATTGAGCTTAAACACAAGATATGAGCAACTGTCACTAAATCTCTGAGTAAATGCACTGAATTGTAGGTCACAGCAGCTATGTTCCCTCACAGGAATGTTTCTTCTTCTTCTTAAGCCTTTCTACATATACTTCAAAGGTATCTGACCAAAAATTTCCCTGGGTCTGGTTTTGCATTGTTGTTTACCCTCATCCTGAAGAAAAGCAAACTGTATCTATATATGTAGCCCCTATTACATCTCATACTTCCAATATTTCAATGTATAGATTAGAAATAGATTTTTTTAAAAAGAAGAAGAAAGAAATCCTGCAAGTCAACAGAACACATTTTAAAATAAGAGTCCCAGATTTGAATTGAGCTGGCAAGCAAAGAGGATAGGAGTGAATACCAACATGTGAAGATCACACTAGGAACTAGAACAGTGGTTCCATAGCTGGTTTGGATTGCTACAAACCCTCAGAATTTCTTACAGACCACCAGGTATCATTATCATCAAACTTTTAATTGAAACCACTATTTAAAATAGTGTTTAATATGGCTCTGTGGATTAGCTGTGAACCCTTTCCCGTGGCCTCCTGGACCACCAGTGCTCTGCAGACCAGGGTTTGGGAAGCAGACTGCACACATCGTACACCCCAGCAAAACACTGCTGTGTCTGAAAGCAGAGGCAGTCCTGCAACTGCACCAGCTACTCAGATAATGCACATGTCAGTTCAACCTTTGTGGCAGCTGAAGAACACAAAACCCTTTTGTTTTTCCCTACCCAAAGTTTATTTCTTATTTCTTTGGAGAAACATGAAAATGGTGCCAAACCTCAGTTTCTGACTCTTTCTTGTAGGATCTTTCTCGTATCTGACAATGGTGTAATCTTTCAGGAAGCTATGAAAATAAGAAATAGAAATCCCCCCATACCTTGGAGTTATCATTCCAGAATAATTATGAGATCTATAAATCCAAAAATTAAAAATTGAAAACTAGCTTCTAAGTTGTTTTGTTGTTGTTGTTTGTTTGGTTGGTTTTTTTTTTCCCTCCTCTGCAAAATTAGTTCCTTTTTTTCTCCCCCTTCCCAAATCTGCTAATGATGCTAGAGCTCTGTGTGTGGTCATTAAAGCATTTCAGCAACTTTCTGCAAATTCTTTGCAGTTATTCTATGGCTGCAGCACTAGAGGATTGTCTGTTTATTACCAGAGAAACACACAGAGGAAAGCAATGAGACGGGAACTCATGGGGAAGGCATTGAGAAGGGAACTGGTGTGGAGGTGTATAAATAACAGCAGCAAAACACCATGCTCCAGCCCTGTGTGAAGCCAGTGACAGAGTGTGGTCTCACATAAGAGCAGGGATGGGCTGCAGCTTCCCCTCCCATCCTTCTGCCTCCTTGCACCTCAGCCAATCAGTCCAGAAAGGGGCCTTATTCACCTCTCCTCATATGCTCATTATCAGCAGCTTTTATGTGGAATTGGCCATCAGGAACCTTTGCAAGTAGCAGCATCACACACACACACACACACACACACCAAAAAAAAAAAAAAAAAAAAAAAAAAAAAAAAAAAAAAAACACCCAAAAAAAAAAAAAAAAAAAAAAAAAAAAAGAAATCCAAACAACAAAAACCCCTCATTTTCTAAAAGAGCTCTTTTTAAAAAATAAGTCTGTGCTTCCACGACAGTATCTTACCTAATTTGGAGAGAAAATAGTGCTGTCACAGCACTTCTATGCCCTTTGTATGCTCAATAGCCATGGTAATGCAGAGGTTTGACTCAGAGTGGGAGTGGAAAAGGGTCACTTCAGCAAAACTATGCACAGGAGAAGCCTGCAAGGGAAAGGAGTAACCTCTACCTTGAAAGAAAATGAACCCTACCCAGTTCTTGTCTCTATAGGTCTCTCTTGCAGTGCTTCACACTCAGCATTACTAATGGATGCTACTGAGCATTTATAAAGTCAGATTAATAACCAGTCCCATTTGTGTCCTAGGGCTTTTTGTTGTTGTCTGAACAGTTTTCTTTTTCCATGCAGTGCCAATGCTTAGAAGGTAGCTATTAACTCACTTTTTATTCATCTGAAACAGATACACTTCAAGCCTGCAAACCTGACTAGACAGTGTGAAAACAAATCTTGTAGCCTCACCTCAGCAGTGTCCAGATTCCTTGCCAAGCTCCCCTCTGCTGAGAGGCTTCCGTGGGGCTATCCCAGGCCTGGTACCTGGGGAAATGTGCCCGAGCTGAGCCAAGCATCTTAAATCCACGTGGAATTCCGTAAGATGAGAAATCCACGGCGAGGAGTAACGCCCTCCTCGCATCACTGCCTGACCCCCTTGATGTGGATAATGTGTGTACTTTTTTAGTAAGTACGTGCTGCCTTTCTGCCAACCCATCAGCTTTTGGCTTCTCTCCACAGGAAGCAGGGAGGCCGCGTTCACCTATGCCATTACTGCAGCCGGGGTTGCGCACGCTGTCACGGCCGCCTGCAGCCAGGGCAACCTCAGCAATTGTGGCTGTGACCGAGAGAAACAGGGCTACTACAACCAGGAGGAGGGCTGGAAGTGGGGAGGCTGCTCCGCGGATATCAGATACGGCATTGAGTTCTCCCGGAGGTTTGTTGATGCCCGAGAAATCAAAAAGAATGCACGGAGGCTGATGAACTTGCACAACAATGAGGCTGGAAGAAAGGTATTCCAGAAAGGATGAGGGATGGGAGCGTGTGTGCTGGAGGATGGGGGGAGGCTGGCTTGGTGGCAGGAGCATCCCCAAGAGCTCACCCCTCTCTCTGACCTTATCCCTCACATCAAGTCACTGGATGGCATCTGTTCTTCACCTTTTTTTTATAATACACCGGCTGTGTATTATAGGCACTCCTGTAAAAATTCCCACCTCCTAAGCCTTCTTTCCAGCCCCGAAAACAGGGAGGATCTGTTTAGCACAATGGATCCATCTTGCTGGGTCTGTTTAGCATAATGATAAATCACTGCTTTGCATCCCATTTGCAAAAAAATCTAGCAAGGGATGTCGGGGCTTGTGATGGAACAGGACTGAGTTGTCTGCATTGCTCAGCTTCCACAGCACTTCCAGATATTTATTCCAGTGAAACCCAGATCACTTATTTGAGCCCAGCTCTAATGAAATACACATAGTGGTACACAATGCACTTCTTAGCAAATGCACATCTGTCTCTTTGTAACTACAAAGCTACAAAGAGCTGCAGAAGAAGAAGCAGTTTCACGTCTAGAACCACAACTGAATTGCTTCTTTTGGTAACAATAAACATCATGGAGCTATGATGATTTATATTGTAAATGCAGGTGAACCCAATGGGAAGAAATGGTGATGTCTGACTCAATTCAGAAGGCTGAATTATTTCTTTATCATAACTATGCTAAAATGCATTAACATACTGTATAAAAGGAGGATACTAAAACTACATCCTACTTTCTCTGACTAACTCTAACACAACTCATGACCCTCTCTGAGACTCCAGCCCCAGATGGGCTGGATTGGCCATCAGGCCCAAACACTCCTCACCCGAATCCAATCAAGCAATCACCCCAGGTAAACAATTCTCCAAACACATTCCACATGGGAAAAACAAGGAGCAGAAATAGAAACTGTTTTCTCTTTCATTTCTCTCTGTGCACCTCTGTGAAAAATCCTAAGGGGGAGAGAAATGTGCTTGCCACAGATTTTTATCCATCAATCCTCATAGCTCTCAAAGCTTGTCCTTTAAAAAGTGTAACAAATCTTTCTGCATCATATATACCTACCTCAGGAGAGATTTTAGCCTTCAGAGTGTTTTCCCCTAGGAAAAGCCCTCTGCTCCAGTGTTGCAGAAGAATCCAATATAGCAATCCAATAAAATCCACCTCCTTCTCTAGTCCCCAAAGTAAGACTGCATTTTCCTCCTCTAAAACCATGTGTGCTTTCAGTCCTGTACTGAGCACTGGGCTTAGCAGAATTGGTGGTGACAGAAATAATGCAATTATTTTACTGCCTAGATCTTGCTTACTAGCACAGTTGCATTGGCCATGCACTGAAACAGAAGGTTCTGTATGGGCAGGAGTTCACTGGAATGGAAATACTGAATAAATTCAGTGTGGTGAGAGAGGCATAAACTCAAGTGTAGAGACAGGATCCATACTTCAGTGATAGTCCACACTGAGGTCCCCAGGTGTGCAGGAGAAAACTGACTGAAGAGCCAAACAGAAAAACAGTCTTTTTTCCTAAAAATTGCTGCGATGGCTATAAAAGAACTTCAGTCAGCAGCTGACTATCACATTGGAAGACCAGCTCCAGGTCTGATCACTTCACTTAGGCTGGGAATTTCAGCTCAGCATCATAAATTGTGTTCGGAGACAAAAGAAGGTGGAAATCAACTCTTAAAGTTATCAGGGAGAATTTATTATGCATTACCATCCCTGCCTAAACTGGCATCCTCTGTGGTGTGTGCTGTGCCACCCCCATGGAGATACTGATTCCTGCTTGGAACATGTCACAGTTCAGATGTGAAAGAGGGACAAAAGAGCAAAAGCAGATACTGAGATGGAAAACAGTGAAGTCCCAAGGACAGAAAGAGCTCATTATGTGAACCAAGCACTGATCATGGGTCCCCCAATTCTAAATGCAGCCCCGTAACCACTAGACCACATTGCTGATTCTTATTAAGCACATTATATTTTACTTTTCATCAGAATTTCATAAGCAGAGGGACATAAGCAAACCAAATAAGTGCATGTTTTTACAGATATTTCTGGTAGCAGAATACATGCAAATAAATTTTAATTAGCAATTCTAAATTGTTTTCAAATGTTCTTGCAAAAAACAAATGATAATACTTTCACATTTTAAGAAAGGAATACAAAGGCTTGCAATACCAACAATATATCTTCCCCCATTTTAAAAAATATAAATAGTATTTTGAAACTTATAACTTTTTGTTGCATTTTTCAGTAGTTATTTATACCCATAGCTATTAATTAATTCATTGTATTGCTTTCAAAAGCTAAGAATGACTGAAAGAATTTGGTATAGTTTTTTGTTGTTAAGTATAATCCATAAAATCCAGAGGAATGTGCTAATATAAAACATGGTTTTGGGGGTGACATTTAGAAATAATGTTGGTGTTATAATCTGTAGTCCCTTTAATTAAATATTCAGAGTTGTACAGTAAATAATATTTAGCGATTTTGATTCTTCTGAGATAGTTTGCTGTTTGCATAAATTAGACATTTTGAGTTCAAGACTGACTGAAACTCAAGGTTAGAACAAAACTCTGGAACCTAGGACATGCTTTCTGTGTTTCTGGGGTGGACCCTTACAAAAGCATCTACAGAATTTTCTGCAATTTCAGTGTGAAATCTCAAGTTCCTTCTGAGAATCCAGGCAGACTTGAAATCTGACTTACATTCACCTGAAATCTGCTGTTTTGGGGGTCCTTGGGAAACCTGTACTGCTCTGTGAGCCTGACACAAAATCTGAAACCAGGGCATTACACCCTGTTTTCAGATAGGGTATTTTCAACCTTAGAGTGGTAATGGACAGTAGAGACAGTAAAGGAAGTACATGATTTTGTAGCTTCCTACAGAGATTTCACAGCACTTTCACCATTTAAAATACCCTGCATTCACATCTGTAATGGTCAGGCTTGAAGTTCTTTTTTTGTCATACCAAATTGGCTTTTTGAGCTAGCTGAGAAGAACAACTTTTAGCCAACAAATATACTACCTTCCTTCTAGTCTTTTTGAATCTCAGAGCCTTCCAAGACAGAAACATGAGGAAAAAAGGACACAAAAGAGCCCCCAACCTACATACAATTGTTTCCAACTTGCTCTGCAGTCAGTGGTGACCTTGATGACCTCGCTAGACATCTACCAGGTGGCCAGAGGTTCATTGCTAGGATCATTAGTCAAGGCACTGGGCACCAGTTTTGCCCCCCAGGCAATCATTTGAATGTTATTTTATACCACCAGAAGGACTTTCTCATGTGCTCTCAGAAATCTTGCCCATCCTCAATCTCTTCCAGCACTTGTCCCACACGTGCCTGGGTGTCAGAGGGGTTTGCAAATGCAGCAGTATGGCTTTAATAATTTGCTTTCATTGGGATGCTCCCAAAAGCTGGCCTGCTGGTACTGCAATGCTGCTGAGAGCAGAACCCGGAGGAATTTTCTTTGTGGAACAAGCAGCATGCTGTAAAAATAATTGCACACACTTTGCAAACAGATGAGGGGAAAAGCAGTCCTGGGGGGGGCCTTTCACTTCTGTCTAGGGCTGAGATGTTCAATACAACCCTCTAATAAATTATCTTATTGGAAAAAAATGCCGTTTAGGATTATCAGGGAATTTCTGATGACTCTGCAATGAATGAACACCCTGATTTCCCCACACTGCATCCCGTATGGCTCTGCATTGAATTTCCAAGAATTGTTTCAGTAATGACAGGTTTGCAAAGCTTCAGCTAAATTTGCAATAAGAAGCACCAGTGACAAAATCATAATCTTGTCATTGGTGCAATTTAAAATAAATAAATGCTCAGGGGTAGTTCCTGGTGACACAAGACTCTCCTGACAGAGAATTTATGCTTGGAGGCAAAGTGGCAGCACACGGTGTAAAAGAGCAGAGGAACAAACTTCCCTGTCAGCTTCTAAGCTTCTGGGATTTGGGATGGAAAGCACAAGTGTGGTAAATGAAAACACGCCCCCAAAGGAGGACTAGTATAAGCCTAACACAAATGTTACTGAAAGGGCGTTTTGTTGCAAATCTGAAAGATTACAGAGAGATCTGTGGGCAAAACTTTGACAGAGTACTGAAAAATTAAATACCAAAAAACCGAGTCAGCTTTGATGCTGCTTTATGAGACAGCTTTCTACCATGTATTTTTAGAAATAAGTATCTTTATTCCGGGATAAATGAACTTAGAGTAACATCTGGGAACACGCATCATTAAGCTTAACTTTTTGTTGAAAGTTTCAAAACAATGACTGTCTCTCACGGGAAATCTCATTTATAAAAATGGAGGTTTCTGTTTGTTTTTATGGGGTGAGTTAAAAGAACAAACTGACAAATTGGTAGCAGATTGCAGCTTTTACCAAAAAGTAGAAATGTTTCTAACAGTTTATCAATCAATTAGGCTCTCACAACAGACAGTGACTGTGGTTATGTGGAGAAAAAACTGGCCCCTGCAGAAACACACCCATCATACTGCCTGCCAGCAGCTCTGCCTGCCACCATCCCAATATTTACTCCTTTCTAGCACCAAAGGGATTTTCCTGTTGTTTTTCTGGAATGCCTGGAAGATGACAACAGCTTATTTTACATATGAAGCAATAAGAGTGTGGGGAAAAAACCAAAAAATTCAGGCTCTCTTCAGAACAGCTTTTTCAATTACTTGGGACAACATTTCCACCTAAGCCATGTTTTTTTCTCATAGTTTCAGGTACAATAGGCCTGTGCTACTGGGAAGGGGTTCTTTTGCTCACTTGTTTTGGCTGTAGAACAGCTAATGAGGTGATTTGTTGATTGCTATTCATTACATAGATACACATATAAAGATACAAAAAATAATTGTATAATATATACATAAACAGACATAAATATACACAGTGTGTGTGCCTGTAATAATGGATATTTATACCTATTTATATATATTGTCTGTGCATATATTATGTGAGACAGCTCCTTTCACCTCACCAGCAGCACTGTAATGAGACAGCTCATTCCTGCAAGATGCACAGCACCTGATTTGCTGCAGGTTGCTCACACTGCCACATAGGATGTAAAGATAAGAAGCAATGCCCAGAAAAAGACTCTGAATGAAATGTTCTGAAGTCACATTGGAGGCTGAATCCCAGTCTCAAACATGAAAGCCAAATAATTTCATGCTCTTATAAGCCTAAAATATTCTTTAAAATGTGACTTTGTTGTCTAAGTCATTTCAGGGATGCAAAGAATGTTACTTTCCAAGTTTTACAGCACTGAGTCCATCATTTGCTGAAAGTTTATTTCTCTAAAATTGACAAGTTATTTCACTATACATCCTGTGTGAGACCACTCATGAAAGAAAAGCTTTTAATAGTTGTGCCTCATGCCATACTTTCCATCTTCCCACTTAAAGTGATTTGCAGACAGTTGCATAAATCCAGTTTCAAAAATTTTGGTGTCACAGCTTGGGTGGGTTAGATGGATAACTAAGGACTTATCCATATGTCCTGAATATACAAGCTTTGGCTCAAAATCTCATGAGGATATATCTCCTGCTTCCAGTTGGGCTGGATTTGTTAGCTTATTTTTTTCTTCCAGAAACACACCCTGAACACAGACTGCCAGCAGCTACATCTGGTACTACCCTACTTTTTGAACAATTTGCTTTAAAATTAGAGGGGGGAATAGCCAAATATTTTAGGAGTTGCTAAATGGTTTTATTCAAGAAATGTGCATGCCCATGCATACCATGAATGCATGCAAGGCATGTATCAAACATCTAGTGAAATATGGCCTCAAACCTGACACATCTGTTCTGCCTGACAGAATAAAACTACCAGTGAAATATTTTTAACTGTTTAAGCTGATATTTTACCTTTAAGGTCTACAACAAATTCCATTGAGAACACAGTGGAACACTGCAAGCATATTTCCTTTGGAAATGATGGGGAGGATGCTTCTAAAGGAAATTGCTTTGCAACATTTCACTGTGAAAACAATATTCATAATTAATTAATTGCAGCAGTTTACTGCTCAAACATCTATTTTCTCTTCTAGAAAGCAGAGAAGAAACACTGATGAATTAGTATTGTAAATACAGGCGAACCCAATGGGAAGAAATGACCATGCCTGACTCAGCTCAGAAGGCTGAATTACTTCATTATTATAACTATGCTAAAATACATGAATATACTATATAAAAGGAGAATACTAAAACTACATACTACTTTAACTCTTAACACAATTTGTGACCCTCTCTGAGAGCCCAGCCCCAGGTGGGTTGGATTGGCCATCAGGCCCAAACAATCCTCACCTGAATCCAACCAAGCAATCACCCCAGGTAACCAATTCTCCAAACACATTCCACATAGGAAAAACAAGGAGCAGAAATAGAAATTGTTTTCTCTTTCATTTCTCTCTGTGCACCTCTGTGAAAAATCCTGAGAGGGAGAGAAATGTGCTTGCCACAGATTAGGCTATTGTTCATCCTCATTACAGTAGGGACATCCATCAGATGGGCAGCAGGTCCCAAAATGCTGGGTTAATTTTCCTGGTAGCCAAGAGGAGAACTTGTATAGAGTGCAGTGGGCCTTCCTCAGCTTTTTCAATGCATTAAGTGGGGGCTCTGTGTAAGAGGGTGCCTTACCTGGGAGGCAAGTGGAGGGCAGGAGGAGGTGATCTGATAACGTGCCCTTATTCCTCTGCTGCTGGCTCCATGCTCCCTCTTCACAGGGCTGGGCACAACCCAAGGAGACATGCCATGAACTGCTCAATTTTGGGCTCTCTGATCTGCTATTAACAAAGAATAATTTCAGGACATTTGTATTAGAAGAGTAGCATTCCACCCTGCTAATTCAGTTACAGCCCTGCCTATCCAAGCTAAAGAAGCAAACCCAAACAAACGGAGCTTGCACAGCCAGAGGGGCACAGGAGAGCAGCATCCTGCCAGCAGTGCTGGGCCCCAGGCTGCACTGAGACTTGGCTTAGCCACTTGTCATCAGTCAGCCATCAGCTCCTGTGGCTGCAGCTGCATGAGCATCAAAGAAGTGGTGACATCTTGTGACCAGAATCTGTCCCTTTTGGTAGTTATTACACAAAGCAAAAGTTGATCACTTGCATATTTGATGAGGCAAAACTCTTCAAGTCTTTTATTTCTTTTTGATACTCCAGTCAAAAAGTTATATGGATTTTGTTATATTCAACACTTGGTCCAACAATGTGCATTTCCATTAAGGAAAGAAAAAAAAAACCAAAACAGCAGGGGTAAGCCAAAACACATACACACACAAAATGTAACTATTGTTTTTACATACTTTATCCAAATAGGATTTTTACTATGTGCAGAAACTGTATCTGATGTTAAGCAGTTTGGTCTAGATATGAAACTTGAAAAAGTGAATTTCTTTTAATGCATATAATTTTGTTTTATTTTGGTCTTCACAAGTCTTTTTCTACTTAACTGGCAGCAGACAGCCCCCAAATTGCATTTTAGATGTATGATTTATATAGGTATAAAAAGATGTGGGATTAAGAACGCTTTAACATTCTATTTCACAATTCATTTAACAAAGTAGCAGTACTTAGAAAATTTTACTTGGCAAGATCATAGTGGGGTGGGAGTGGGCCTGTATGTGGAAAAGGGAGCTGAGAAATGTTCCTATGATTAATGTGAGGCAGGACAGCCCAACGATGGGAAATTTGCTCTGGGAGGTAGATCTTGCTGTAAACCATTCAAGATTAGATACGAGGTACTGACATATGACAAATGAAGCTGCTGAGTGGCTCGTATGAGCTAATGATTTTCAATCTTTAATTAAGCACCTAGCTTGGCATAGTGTCTTAGATTTGAGTGAGTAAGTACCTTTCAGGTTCAGGGTCAGAGCTTTGATGGGAATTTTGCTGAGGAAAACTGAACTGGAGAGACTTTGAGGAAGCAAAATATTAGTTACTCTTCATTCAGAGCATTGAGCAAACAAGGTCAGACCCGGCCACCTTTGCCAGGCCCATGGCACCTCCCTGGCAAGTGGGAAGCTGCTTAAGATCCCAGAGCAGAGAGACTTTCCCCCGCTGGCCTGTCAGCAAGGAAGGGCACTCTGCAGCATCTGGGTGGAAAGAGGGGGAAAAATGTTGCTTAGAATCTGCTTCGTTTGGGCCTCGTATTCCCTGACCTCCAAGTCTTTGGGCACAATTTTATACCCACAGCTGGCTGTGGGCACACAAATTATAGCATTCAGGAATTTAACTACCTGATGATTGGGCCTCTGCTCAGTGTTGAAACCCCAAGCATTCCACATTCATGAGAGAAGCCTCCAAAAAAAATTCAAAAAACCTGCAAGACTGGCTTCAGGAGCATGAATTAATACTTTTTGAAACTTCTGATTTTTTGAGCCTGCATGGCTTGCATTTGCAAGTCTTTCCACCATCAAAAATAGTGGGAATCTTTGAAAAAACACAGCAGTTAAATCAGGTTTCTGCTTGCCAAAATGAATCACAAAACTGGACCTTCAGAAAGACAAGGGCAGAAAAAGAAAAAAAATCAAGACTTAGGATAAAGTTGCTGGAGATTGTACTACAGAGGCTGCCAGGTAATGTCTATAAATAATATATATGTAATGTATGTAATAATGTATATAAACATTGGGATCTCGACCAAATACACACAGGCAAACAATTATTATATAGACAGACAAACATCCATATATAAATATACATTTCCAAAGTTGTCACCTAGGACACTGAAATGGGTGATGCCTGTCTTTCAGGAGCAATGACACTTTCTAGGGTATCAGGGAAGCACATCAGAGGCTCCTTGGGACAGTACCCACAGTGTGGAACCCTCAGGAGAATAAGGAGCTTCATGAACTTCACCTCCTCCCACTCTTAGCAAGTTACTGACTTGGCCTTTTCATCCAAAATGTAGGTACCAGAAACCCATGTAGGGCAGGACAAAATATGCACCCTTCACCAAGGTTTACTGCTCAGGGAGGAGTACAGATTGAGGGGTGACAGATCCCACTGTCACTGCTTTCCTGGAAATCCTTAGATCCCAGTGCTCTTTGGTGGAGGTGTGAAAGTTGCATCCATCCACCTCTTGTTGTGGATTTTGCTGCAATTCTTACAGCTGCAACTGCATGTTGACAAAGCTGTAGGAACAGGTTAGTTTCAACAAAACCAAACGTTTTTCAGCACAACTTCATATCAAGCACAAGTTCTAAGCATGTTTATGTTTATATACAAATACATCTAAATATCAATAGATTATTTGGACCCCAGATTTGTGGAACAGGATTGAAATCTTATTTAGGAGTCTTTGGAGAAAGACCTTCTCCATAGGCCAGAAATGGATACAGAGGAGACCCTGGAGACCCCAAAAAGACCCCAGAGTGTGTCACAGTGCATCCGTCTCCTGACTGCCACTGAAATGCTGCTGCTGCAGCAGAAGATGGCAAGTTTTCTATCAGTATGGAAGACAGAAAGGTGATACAGTGCATTCCAGTGTCCACAGAAAAAACAGTTCATCACAGCCTTGCTGATTTTCTTCTTTTAGAGCAGTTGCAGCTATAGGAATTTCTTCCCCAACTCAGTAAACCTTGCTGGGAAACACCTTTTCTGCCTCTGATAGGATAAATTGACCTTGTAAAGTAAAACAAAAATAATTTTTAAAAGTAAATTGTAAAGCCTGTGGTTCCAGAAGGTCTAAGGTATGACCAGACTGAGGTCAGACCTCAGCAGGTGCTGTAGGTCCTCCTGAGGGGCAGTGGAGGGGCAGCTCTGCTCTCTGGGACCAGGGACAGGACCCAGGGAACAGCTGCAGGTGGGTCAGGAGAGGGTTAGGGTGGATATCAGGGAAAGGTTCTTCCCCCAGAGGGTGTCGGGCACTGCCCAGGCTCCCCAGGGAATGGGCACGGTCCCAAGGCTGCCAGAGCTCCGGGAGCGTTTGGATAATGCTCTCAGGGATGCACAGGGTGGGATTTGGATGCAAAAGGCCCCTTCCAACTCAGGACATTTTATGATTCTTGCATAGATTGCTCAGCTATCTTATACTTGCTATCATATGTTGGTAAGGGAGAATCAAATCCAAATATTGTCTTTAATATTGAAACCCCAGAAATTTGGGAAAAAACAAACCATACAATTTAAGTGAAACTCAAACAACTCAGGAGGGTGCCCTCTATTTGCAGGGATAACCAGATCTGTACAGCTTTTATTTTAAGGCCAGTTTCTGAAGCAGTAAGCATTTTTTACTCCCTCCTACTTCATTATGCCATTGTACTCAGATTTCGGCCCTTTTATCCTTTGCCCATTTCAGTCATGTTCTGGGATCTGCAGCGAAACCGCTACAGGAGATGGTCTGCAGCATCAGTAATGCTTTCAGACAAGCTCGGGAGCTCATGTTTCTTTGTTAGCATCCCATCGCGAAGGGGAAAGATCAGCTCGCTTTGTTCTTAGGCCTTGATTTTCATAAGCTAATGACGACTGTGGGTGTAATTATGGTCAGGCTGAAGTGGTAACGCAAGGGCAGAAAAGCAGAGCGGCGCTTCCGCGGGGCTGGCTTCCCCTGCCGCGCCGCGGAGCGCGAGGACATCGCCTGCCTTCCCCGGCACAACCTGGCAGGGAAGCAGGGATGTGCCAGGGCTGATGAGCCTGAGCACCCACCCGTTTGTCACTTCTGACTCTGAATTAAACCCCTCTCACTGAACCTCCCCTACAGCAGCAATACGTTTCTCTTCGGCTTGCTGTTGAGCAGGACCCTTTGGTGGATTTTTTTCCCTCTAATGCTGTGTTATCATGGCCCCGGTGGGAAAAAATGTATTTGTGGCTAATTATTTGCTGAATAGTTGGGCTAAATACTGCGATGAGTGCTGCTTTTAAAGGGATGGGACAGTCTGTGGGTGGAATAGTCTGTAAGTTTACCACTGGTGGTATTGGTATAGGTATATAGGAAAAAATTTTTAATTATGCAGTGAATATAAGATCATAAAATGGTTTGGGTTGGAGGTGACCTTAGGGATCATCTAGTTCCAGCTCCCTGCATGTAGGTTTATTCAGTCACACAGTATATACTGCTTTTCTTAAGCATTCTCACATCATTACTTAAAGCAATTAAGTATTTTGAATCCTATGCCACTTAACCCCCAAACCCATTCTTGTTTTCTGTTTTCAAAACAAAAATTATTTGAAAAATTTGAAGTCCTCTGTGGCTCTAAAGAAATGTCTCCTAAAACATAAATAAATGTTCTCCAATATTTGGAGAAGGAATGGAAACATTTTCCCAAAAAATGACAAAACACTGTATTTCCAACCGGGTGACGCTCGAAACAAAATGTTATGAGCATTCTTCTGGGAGGTGGGAAGATTTGTAAGCATGCATTTGAAAAATTTCAACCAGCAGTGATGAATATTCGTATGAACTAAACAGACTGAGGTTTAGGCAGGCTTGCAGCATTGTTTTCCTGCAATAATAATATGCAAATGTCTGTACACACAGGTTCTCGAAGAGAGAATGAAACTGGAGTGCAAGTGTCATGGAGTTTCAGGTTCCTGTACAACTAAGACCTGCTGGACCACGCTTCCTAAATTCAGGGAGATTGGATATATTTTGAAAGAGAAATACAACGCCGCAGTGCAAGTGGAGGTGGTGAGAGCCAGTAGACTGAGACAGCCAACCTTCCTGAAGATCAAGCAGATCAAGAGCTACCAGAAACCCATGGAAACGGATTTAGTGTACATTGAAAAGTCACCCAACTACTGTGAGGAAGATGCTTCCACAGGGAGCGTCGGTACCCAGGGACGGCTCTGCAACCGTACCTCTCCCAACGCGGACGGGTGCGACATGATGTGCTGTGGAAGAGGCTACAACACACACCAGTACACCAAGGTGTGGCAATGCAATTGCAAATTCCACTGGTGCTGCTTTGTGAAGTGCAACACGTGCAGCGAGCGGACAGAGGTGTTCACCTGCAAATAACGGCACCGCGTGCGAACGCGCAGAGCAAACCACCGCGAGCGAGGAGAGTGGAGTACGACAAACAATGACAGCATCATTTTGCACATCTAATCCTCTTGGGGGAAAGAACCCCAGCCAACACCACAACAACCACTCCCTCCCCACAACTACCTATACTTCTAAGGATGGTGCATTTTGGCTGGCTGGCTGTTGTAACTGCTTTGGAAACAAGGGCAACAGGATTAAGGTGATGTTGACAACCACATGAAACTTTCTCTCTGTCTCTCTCTCTTTTTTTTTTTTTTTTTTTTAACTACAATCTGGGTGTTGCAGAGTTCTCTTAGTGTTTTAAATTATACATATCAGAGAAGCTGATTGCATTGCAGCTCCCATGACATTTACAAGAAAAAGACACTTTCTCCTATTTTACAGCAACAAAACTGTCTAGCCCTGTGCAAACAAAGACTTTTTTAAGGAAATGAAATCGTCACTGACTAGAACACAGCATTCTCTCTGCAAAACCCAAAATTTCTAAAAAAGCAGATAGAGAGAAAACAACAGGTAGGGAGAAAAATCTGTGGCAGAAATACTCCACTATCAGTTTGGAAAAAAACCCCAAGAAGCGTTCACAAAATTACATCAGCTGCCAGTGACACTGGAACTCTTTGAACGAACATTAAAAATAATTATTTATGGTTTTAATAGTATCAAAAAATTCTAAGCACTAACGGGTAGCAATGTCTTAATTCTGTACTAAATGTAAACTTATTGGAACTCTGACTTTATGACTTTTGTATTTGGTTCTGCCTAAGTTCTTCAATGCTACTGATCTGTTGTCACTCCACTATTAGAGAGCTCAATTACTGTAGGCCTTAAGCAATTGCCAGAACTGAGTGAAAACATCACATGAAACTTTGGTTACCAATGTTTGATATCAACTTTTACCACTTGCCTCCTGAATGACTTTTTCAGACCCAGGCCTGAGGTGTGGAGCACCTGCTTATAGATCCTCATAGGGAGTTTTAGGATACAAAGACGTGCTTCAACAAGTATCAAAGGTTTTGCTTTGACAATGAATGCACTGGCAGGGTCTTCCAGGCATTGTGTTTTCCCTTTAATGGTTGAAAGTTAATATTTTCAAGATTTTTAAGAAAATTATGCTCAGTATACACTCAGAAGAGGATAAAAGTCTGGCAGCTGAGTTCTAGGTTACTTTAACCTTTGGGCTGTCATGGCTTCATGAGCATAAGAGAGCCAAAATTTGGGTTAGTCTGTGTCACCATTATTTTAAGGTTGGCAATAATGTACCTTCTGGTAAGCACATTAATGTTAAAAGAAAGAAGCTCACTTCTTAAAAGCACTCAATCCTAATTCCCACACCTTTTCCCTATGAGAGATTCTAAAGACAGCCTCAGATAATTTACTGCTGTAAAATCTAGTGTTTTAATCCCAAGAGCCCAGATATGCCCACTTAGAACACAGTCCATTTAACCATGTAATTGTTTGCTTGTCCCAAGGGTCCCCGCCCGATTTTCTGAAAACTTGGATTAAAAATTTCCTTACCTCTGCATACCTGCATTTTTAGCTTTTGTTTAATTTTGTTCTTTATACTGAGGGGCTGCAGAGCCATGAGCCCTCCCCACCTAACAGGGAAGCACTTGCCCATCCACATGGTGCTCTTGGGGCAAGGGGCTGGTGGACCTAGAGCTCCACCAGCTCCCGTGCTGGATATGTGAATGAGCCAGAATTACCTCTGTAATTTGTGGACCTGCATTATCAAAGGTAACTAATGATTTGGGGACCTTCATTTGAACACTTGTGAGGACCTGCCTTTCTGACCCCAAGCACTTACCCTCTTAAAATCAGACCCCTTTGATGACTTCCTCACAGAGCAATGCAAAATTGCCATTTTTTATTGTTATTGTTATTTTTTAATGTTGCTGTTGATTTCTAAATACCAGCCTTGGCATGAATGAGTGCAACTTCACAGAAGTCAACAGGGGCCCCTAAAATACTAGATTCACTCCATGTAATCTTGGATTCATGGGTATTGTTGTTGAGTAATAATGATGATACTGTACTTTCACTACATTCTTGACAGGAAGCAAATAAAGCTCCCATACACAGTAATGCACAGTCTTATGGTACTAGATACTGTAAATTTATTAGAATAGTATTTGTTAAGTACAATTGAGGATTCCAATTAAGTTATATTATTGTATATCGTTTAAATGTCTATAGAATATTTTAAATTATTGTGAACTACACTGTGTTAGAAAAAAAGAAAAAAAGGAAAAAAGGTTATATATTATAACACCAATCACTCAGAAAAGTGGACCAAAGTGACACTTTCTCTCTTCCACACCCCTATTTGAAATAACTCTGTCTGCTACTGTAAGACCACTGTAAAAGTCCCATGACTGAGTGAGCAGTCCTAGAATGTAATGTTTCAGAGCATCCTACAAAAGCTTTGCTCATGTGGAGGTGCAGCATTCAAAAAGGTGCTGTATGGCACAAAGCAGGGGCTGGCAGTGGGAATGCTTGGATGTTGAAATATGTCCCATATGTTGAAATATGGAAAAACAGTTCTGGTCAGAAAATACCATTACCACTAATGTACTGAAACACTCCCCAAGGTTACGACTTTTAACGAAGGTGTCTGTGAATAGAAGTGGGTTACACACAACTTTTATTTTTAAAAATGTAGTTTGATGTCAAAAACCTGTGACAATAGACGTTGGAACACGACCAGCAACATGTGGTTTAACCATACCTTAGCCATGACAAAACTCAAAATACTTTATGTTATTAAAGAACTTAAGAGCAAAGATCAATTTGTTTACTACGTTAATGTTTTATGGCAAGCAGAAAACAAAAGATGAAATGTGTTTCCATTAAAACTTAATTTTTCCCCTTCCAGTTCCTTTTCCTTTTATTTGTTCTTTGTTAAGGAAAAGAAGAAAAAGCAACAGGCTCTTATGAAAAGACCATTTGTGTTCAGGCTTCTCCACATGAGAAATGACAGGTGAATTCCAAGTCCTAATCAGTTTTTTGTATTTCAGGAAAAATAGTCATGAACATGATTGTGTGTGGTATCAGTGTTGAGCCATCTCCCTACACCAGTGCTACAGAAAAACCAGCACCAACAATGCCGCTACCAGAGACTTTAGCTGGCTACAATTAAAATATCAGGTTTTTCTTGGTGGAAGAAAATAAATGTTTTGTGATAGAAATTTGGCATCTAACTCAAAAATGACGCTTGACCATGAACCTCACACAACAGAGCCTTAGAGGGTTGAAGGTCCTGACTTGGGCACTTGTACATGCTCCAGCTTATTCAAGCCAGCTATGGACATATCTGAAAACCCTACCCAAATCTGAACCTGAAGGATTTTACAGAATTTACTTGGGCTAGAATAGTTACAACCTCTTTGATATTGAGAATACTGTCTTCCTATACAAAATCTAAAGAAACTGTACCACTTTTGCTGTATTTACCCCTCAGGGAAGGTATCCAGATACAGATAGCGCTACAGTGAAATTCTACATGAACTGAGTCCAAAATAACTTCATTAAAATGAACTAAGTTGGCCTGGGTTTTACAGCAGCATAAGCATGCACAGTATTTTACCCCCAGATGCCAAAGAAAACACTGTACCTTCCTTCTAATTACATCATGGGAAACTTGTTAATAGAGCTGCAGGAAGCTTTTATAGCACGTGGTAATATTACATTTATTTCTACGATGACATCTGGAAACTAGATGAAACTCATCAAAAGCTTTGCAAATCTTTTAACAAATCTAAAGCGTGCTGTAAGCAGGTCACCTAAAATTTTAAACATATTTCCATGGGTTTCTTTGTTAGTTGAAGACTGAAACCCCAAAGCAATACTGAAACTAAGAAATCAAGACCTTTCCCTTATAGCAGCTTTCCCGTGCAAATAACTCAGTGTGGCTTTCACTATTGAAGGTAAAATTGACATTCAGCAGCAAATGCTTTCTGTAAAGCTAATTTGCATTCATAGCAATTTTCATAACTGGACAGAATGACTGAATGTTTCCTTTCCAGCCCTTCAGAGCTTTTGTTGCAGTGACAGTTCCCACAGCGAAGGCGACAGAGTAAATAGCACAGTAAAGACCCAACATTCTTCTCTCTGAGTGATGGCCACAACAAGATGTGGGATATACACTACAAAAACCATGCTAAGGAAAAAAACATCAAAGTTGGAAAGGCAGGGGAAGTTGTAAGCAATTTCAGTTTGTGTTACTGATATTGTAAGAAACCTCCTGTGTGCTAAACAAACCGCATTGGAGGCTGAACTTCACCCACAAACTCATTTCCCCTCAAATCCAAAGTCCCTGTCTGCATGTCTACACATTCAGACTTCAACAAGCCTACCCAAAGGTTGGTAAGTATTTCCTTTTTCGTGTTTTATCTGCTAGTAGGAAATGGTAGGGGATCATTTTCTGGCAGGGAACATATATTTGCAAATTTGAAATTTGCATCTCATTTTTAAAATGAAGATTTAGGGCTTTCTCCCCTTGCACAATCCAGCAGAACGGATATGTTTGCTTTAAAAGATTTGTTCAGTGAAGAATGGCAGTTCACATAATACATGGTGATTATTTGCAATGTGTTCCACAGAGCACAAAAACAGAGGGAACAGTACTACTGTAAACTCAAAATCTTTACTCATGCTCTTTTTACTAAAGGCAATATATTAATTATTAGCTGTTTGGAGACCCCTGCATGAGTCTATTTTGATCAGCCTTTTCAGAAGTTAGTGCTATGAAAGACCAAAAAACGGAAATATTAAAGTTTGCTTTGTTTCCAGGTCCTCTTATTCTTGATGCAAACAGATCCTCAGATCAATTAAAGAACAGCTTAATGAGACTTAAACTTGCATAGGTCACAAAAACGATGAAGATGTTTGTTTCATAGGCATCCCAAACAACTGGCAACCACACCAGACACTAGAAATGTTTGCATCTAAAGCCAGCTGTATGATTAGCCTCTGCCTCCATTTGCCCAGTAATTTAGGGAAAACCCTGCATTTTAGATCCCATACAACTAAAAGGAATTCCCAAGAAGATTACAAGATTTTGATCTTATTGTTTAATTCCTGTGGCTGAGAATGAAAAGGAGCATTCCCTCAATCTCTGGGTAAAGGGAAACCCAAAGGCATTTCGAAGGCTATTCACACCACTCAACTTAAAAGACTAAAAGGCAGGCTAAGGGAAGTGACAGCCTCTCTGGAGTCCCTCTACAATAGGGACAGCGATCTTGCTCCAGGGGGGCCTTA